CTCTGTAGACTACAGTCTGGCCTCAAACTCAGAGATCCTCCTGCCTCTGCCTCCCAGGTTCTGGGATTTAAAGTGTGAGCCACGACTTCCCAGCAGCACTAGACTTTTTATTTGGCCATCTGTGGCTTCTAGGAGGAGTATTATCTTATATGTAGGGTCATTCTAATTATGTGCACACACACACACACAGCCCACTTATGAAACAGTCAGTTTCCATATGGGTTTTTTTCTTGTTTTAGGTTTATTTTTATCTTTTATGTATGAATATTTGCCTGCATGTATGTATATCCTTGAACTAGAGTTACAGACAGTTTTGAGCCACCATATAGATGCTGCAAACTGAACCCAGTTATCTGCAAGAGAAGCCACAAGTTGAGAACCATTGATCAAGGGTGTGTTTTCAGTAAGAAAGCCAGGATGAGCTCCTGGAGACAAATCTTACCCCATATCTCTCAAAGCAGCCATAAAACTGCCCGATGCTTGGTATGCTTGTGTTTGGAGACTTTGAAAGCTCTGACCCTTCCTTATAGAAACAAGGAAAGATAAAGTCTGTAAAAATACATAATTTGATTTATTATTGCGTTCACAGTTTTTTTTTATATTTTAAAAGAATTTTTATAATTTTGCTTCTGAAGTTCTTTGGCCAAAAACAACTGATTTAATTTATAATAATCTAAGACTTTTTGCTGGGCTCTTTTGCTACTGTTTTGTTGTGTTGTGTTTTGTTTTACTTGCTTGTTTTGAGGCAGAGTCTCTCCTGTTGTCCATCCTGACTGATTTCTTGTGTACCTGAAACTGGCCTTGACTTCCTGATACTCTGCCCTCTACCCCCTAGGTTCTAGTATTGCATTTGTGCTTTACCACGCACAGTGCCTTGATTTTTCTTGAGTTGATTTTGACACTTTGTATTTTCCCTACCATCCATTAAATTGAATGCACTTTCCCTTCATCATTCCTGACAGGATGGTATAGCCATGTAGCTATATATAGCTATAGCTGGCTTTTAGTTGTTGCAGGTGTGTGCCATAGGTAGTGGTTATTGAACCCAGGGTCTCATGTATGCTAGGTCCCAGCTTCTTTTTAAAATTATGATGATGTTACTTTTTGTGTGTATGGGTCTTTGGGCTCCATGTACATCTGTGTACCATGTACATGCCTGGTGCCTGTGGAAGCCAGAAAAGGGTGTGGGAGTGCAAGGGACTGGAGTTACAGATAGTTGTAAGCTGTTGTGTGGGTGCTAGGAATCAAATCTAGGTTCTCTGGAAGAGCAGCAACTACTATTAACTGCTGATCCATTTCTTTAGTTCCAAGCCATAGCTTTTTGAAACCGTGGGTTGTGATCCTATATAGGACTGTGTAACTGAATGTGAGGGTTGTAAAAATACTGGGCAGCAGTAAAACATTCCTGAATGCACAATGACTAAAAATTGGTTCAGAGATCAAATGCGTGATTAATCTGAGGTGTCTGCAGCAGTGCTCACCTGTGCTGCTTTGTGGGCCTTCACTGTACTCTTGTACACACGCTTTCACGTGGGGCAGTGCCAGCAGATGTTGCCCGAAACGCCTTGGCTCAGGCTCAAGACTGTGGTATGTTTGATTGCAGTGTTTTCCCTTTCATACAGACTGGTCTACTCTTACAGGAGCATAACATTTTAATTATGGAAAACAGACTTAATATATTTCCCCATTGTCATTCTTCAGCATTAAGTATAAATTGGTATATCTCTGGATTGTATTGTTGTCTTTGAATGTTAGATTTTAAAGATTGCTATTTAAACTGCTGTTAATAATATATATCTTTGGACGAATTTTGGCTTGGGATTAGGAGAAAATTCTAAGAGTTTCTGAAATGGCCCTAAATGTATTTCTGCATTTTGTACTATGTACAAATATGTGAATGATGTTCCCAATGTTAGTGAGTATAAAATTAAAATATTGATCAGCTCTGAAAATATTAAAGATCCCCTATGCCCTACAGTATCAAATATTTGGCTAACATTTAATTCATGTAAAATAACTGAAGTATGAATATTTGTTCTGGTCTTTAATAAATGTTACAAATATATCAAAGAATTATTTTAAAATATTTTTCATGATTTATTATCAGTAAATATGTTATTTGCGCACCTGTTTTATTTCTTGAGTGTGTGTGCATTTGTGTCAGTGGATGTGGAGGCTAGAGGCCAGCCTCTGGTGTTCAGGTGCTCTTCTCACATGGGTGATTGAACTCAGTTCCTTAGGATGGCATGGTGGATACTTTACTGACAGCACTCCTTTCCCAGACCATTGTTTATTTTTTGAGACAGTCTCATGTAGCTCAGGCTGGTCTCAAATTCACTGTGTTGCCCGAGGCTGGCCTTGAACTCCCAAATGGTGGAATTATAGGTGTTTACCACCACCACATGTTCTGTATAACTATGTATCTATCGACCTGGGTTGTATAAGAATTGGTCAGGTGAAGAAAGGTTATAAGAGCGAAAGGAGTAAGAAGCTCTGTGTAGTCTCAAGTAAAATAGGAAATAGATTTAAGCATCTGTGCAATAAGACTGTGCTTCAGAGAATAGAGACAACAGAATAAAAATTTGTGACCATCACAAATTGAAACAAGGTGGCCGTGTAGTCAGTCTCCACCCGTCTTCACGGAGTGAGCATGTTCCACATAAGGTTTCCATGACTCATCCAGAAGGTATTGGAAGGGTAGAGATGGGTTAATGTTCAGAGTTTCTAGCCTGGGAGTCTCCTGCCTTTGCCCAAATCTCAGTTGTCAGTCCAGGTCTCCGTCAGTCTGGCTGGCAGTGGAGGTGCTTTATACCACAGAGTATCGGTGTTGCCAGATTGACTGGGCAGTGGCCTCTGCTTGCCCCAAAGCAGCTCCTTTCCTGTTCTTTTCTGAGTGGAAAAGTGGAGGGGATAGTGTAAAGGCCTAGAAAGCCAGAAAGACAAACACTTAGAATTTACACTGAGTTACCAGGTTCTATGCAAGGAAAGCCCGGCCTTCAGAGTCCTTGGTTCTCCGCTCACTCTCTCCTGCCAGCCTCGTTCGTTTGGGAAAAGCACCGTGGCCAGCCTACTCTTTCTGTTTCTTTATGTCCCTAAAGAATTCTTAAAATAGATAGAATGGATGGGGGTTCTTGGAGATCTCTGGCATTCATTCCCCTAAATTACTTATATTTGTTTGTTACCTTCTGTTTAGCCCAGCTCTTCTAAACAGAGCTCCAGGTGATTTCATTGATTCATTGATCCAGCTGCTGTTTGGTCTTCAGTGTGACACCTCACTGAAGATGATGAAGATGGTGGTGTTTGCCAGCAGACAGTTGACAGTTTCTGTCATAAACTAAACAACTGCAGTAGTAAAGTGTGTCCTAGGAGTGCTCAGCGGGAAGGCCTGGCTTGCACTCGAAGGCTCAAGATGTTTGCTTTGGGTAGTGACTGACTCTTTGAGATAGGGTCACAGGATGTCTCTGGCTGGCCTGGAGCTTGCTGTGTAGAGCAGAGGTCCACCTACCTCTCTACTGGGATTAGCAACATGCACCACCACTCCTGGCCTGTGACTAACTTGACCAGAATAAAGTGAACAGAGCCACTGTAGCAAAGAAACCAGAGTCTGGGAGAGATAGCTCAGCAGCTATGAGCACTGGGTACTTTTGCAGAGGACCTGGGTTCAATTTCTGGCACCCACATGGCAGCTCACAACTGTCTGTAACTGCAGTTCCAGGGGAACTGACACCCCTCACAACAGATATACATGCAGGCACAACACCAAGGCACATAAAATAAAATTTTACTATGTTTATTATTCAAATGTTTAAATAAAAACATTTAAAGAAGGAAGGAAGGAAGGAAGGAAGGAAGGAAGGAAGAAAGGAAGGAAGGAAGGAAGGAAGGAAGGAAGGAAGGAAGGAACAAACCAAGGTACCATGACTTACCCACCTCCACACCATACGTTGTCCCAAACGTTGTCCCAGGGAGGCAAGGGCAGGGCTTCTACCTCAAACCCAGGGTTGCTCTGCTAGGCAGGAGGAGTCATGGTGTCTCTGAGGAAGAGGACTTGGGCTGCAGGAAGCTGGGTAGGCTTTAATTGAGTGCCCAGGCTCTGAGAGACTTCCTCAGCTGGGAGGAGATTAAAGATGACTCAGAGCTGCCCAGCCTGGAGGGATCCCTTGGTGAAGTCCTGGCTTAGGCTTTACTTGGGTTTGGGGGAGAGGCTACTGAGTGCTATAGTGACACAATAAGGTGCCAAGTTCAGGGCGGAGAGCAGCTACTGTTCTGCTCTGCTGAGCTGTGTGATTTTGGATGCTGTTTAACCTCTCTGAATTGCCACTCAGTTTATGAATGGGTACAGTAACTTTCCGTCTTTTTTTGTTTTTCAGAGGTAACTAAAAAATCAGCGTGTCCTATTTCATCTTAATCTGAAAACGAAAATCTCTTTTTGTTTAGGTAAAGCTTTGTTTAAGCCCCCTTTTAAAGAGCAGCTTGCCAGTCTGTTCTTGCCCAAACATCTAGAGAATAACTAGCAAGGGAGCCAAGATCAGATCCAGGATCTGCAAGCATCGTTAGCAACTGAGCATATTTCTATAAACCAATGAAGGTTTTTCTATTTTGTTCATCTGTTACCCTTATGGTGTTGCCACTTTCACATGCAGTATCTGTAGGCGGGAGTAGAGGATAACAGCGTTGCACAAATGAAAGCCGATGGAAAAGGGCCGCTTTCTCTTTAAGGCAGCTTCAACTCCAGCGCCCTCCCCTTTCCTGATTGACAACCCTACCCGAAGTCACGTGATCCGCCTCTATTTGAAGGTCACAAAAAGCTGCTTCCTTTAGAGACAGAGGGGGAGAGAGAGAGCAGGAGGGAGAGTGAGCGAGAGAGTTAGTTCAAGCCAAAATGGCCGACAGAGTCTCTGCTGGTTTCTGAATATTTAAAATACAAAATACAGATAGACAAAAAGAATTCATTTTTTGGACCTTTTTCATTTCCATTTCTACCTTGTATGCCTCAATTTGCTGGATTTAAGCACTGCTGCACTTTATGAGGTTGGTAAATATTTTCAATTTTTAAAAACCAATTGATTTATATGGATCGTGTTAACCGTTCTCACTAGTGGTGTTGGAAATCGACATTTCTCTAGCATGGAGACTGGCTTCAGACATTTCGCGAATCTGTAAATCATGCCCGTGATGTACTTTTGGTTCAGCATTTTAGAAATGGAAAAGACTTGGTAAAATATTTAAATTCTGAAGTGATTTAATTGCACTTTTAGTTTATATGTAGCTTTTTATCATTTCTATCATGCAAATAAACGAAGCCGTGAGTAATTGAAATTTGATATTTAGAAAGAGGTTTTTAAAAACACAGACCTCTCCCTCCCCCCTTAAATCTGCTGCAAAAATTTGCATAAATATAAATGGGTTTGCATTCTTTCGACTGCTAAGGCCGACAAAGGATCGGGAGGACTAGCCCTAGAATGGGAAAGCTTCTCTCTCTGTCTCTGTCTCTGTCTCTGTCTCTCTCTCTCAGACCGGGCTATCCTTCCTGGTGATGTGTAGAGCCTAAAGTGAGATACATTTTAAAATGGGTCTGGAGGGTTACCGAACACACAAGATTTAGGGGCTGTAGATTCCCCTGCTTGAAATGCAAGCAGTATGTGGCTCATCCCTCTAATGCGCGGGCTCCTTTGCGCTGGGTCTTAGTGTGTGTTCTCAAATGTGCAGCCAGATGCGCTTTTATTTTGATCGTGCCTTCAACCAAATGGTAGCACTGCCTTGTAAACACGATTGTTTTAAAGATATAAATGGCTTTTTACTGTTTAGAAATTATTTCTTTGCCAGTCTTCCATATACATTGGTCTCCATTTCACATGAAATAAAATATTTTGTTTACTGTTACATTTTTAATGCCAGTTGAGTGCGTGTGTATGGTATGTGCCTTTTTGGACATATATTTGTTGTAAAGTGGTCATTCAGTATCCTAAAATGACTGTCTGTGTGGTCGTTGGTAACCTTCAAAGTGCAGTGCCTCAAGTTAAATTCCATTACTCGTATTGCAGGATTCTGGAAGCCTGCTCGCAGGCTGGAAAGAAAGCCGAAAACTTGCTTTCTCAGGGCCACCTCCCCCTATCATTGTGAGAGTGTGATGTAATGCCTCTCAGTCTAGTGTGCTGAAAGGACTGTAGTTTGTGATGTGGCGGGTAAATTACCCCAACCCCTGACAAAATCCCTCCTCCTCCCCCAGTACATCTTTGGCTCTGAGAAGCCTTGTTTTCTTTCCTCTTTTCTCCTAATTTGTGTCCTCTTGATTTGTGCTGTGGCATATTGGCAAGAGAAAGATACCATTCTTCTAAATCTGCTACAAAGTATAGTTTAGAAAAGACGTGCGAAATATGCAGAGATTGAATTGTCATATCCCACCATTAAATATATAGACTTGGATTAAAGCTAATTAAGCATAATAGAAAATAATTTTGATCAGAAGGGAGCAGTTTTTGTTTTTTGGTTGTTGTTTCCTTTTTAATTAATCTAATTATGATATGCTAAGCAGCTGAGCCTTAAAGTGTTAAAAAAAAAAATGGGGAAACGGCTGGACCATTTTGAAAATTTGACAGTGTGGAAGAGGGTGTGTAGTCTTTTCAAAAGCTTTATTCACTGTTAAAATGGGTTGGCCTCTCGTGCTGAAAATGGCCTGTTTCTTTGGGCCAATTGTGTGTAGATGAAGGGACTTTTCACGCTAATTTAACAAAAAGACTTTCCATTTGAATACGTAAGGATAATTAGTCTTCTGTCTCAGTAGAACCATCATTTTATTATTTTTTAAAGTAATGTTGTTGTTATATTAGTAATGGTTATAAGCAGAGAAGTGCCTAGAGTGCTAAATGCTTCCATGTAAATTTTATGGTGACATAAATTCAGCTTTTGTGTAAGGAGTTAGAAACATTACATTAGAAAGGAAGACACGTTCGACTCTGAATTATCTTTACAGTTTGGATTAATAGAAATTACCTCAGTGATAGGAAGGGTTGCATTGTGCTGGCTCTGAGGAAAATTAGAGCTGGTTTTTGTTGTTTTCTCTGAAAATGAAAGCAATTATTTGGAGCCTTACTTGGTGGGTGATTCATTTCACTCCTGTTTCCTAAGTTGTGGCTGAAGAGAGAGAAAAAACTCAGCTTGCCATGTTTTGCCTTCAGCTTCTTTCTGTGGACTGTAAACATGTGAATGGTAGGTTTATTCCCTCTTGCAAAGAGGAACCAGAGCAGTGTTGGCTCTCCTGGGCAGAGAGGAGAATGGTATTAGAGCACATTAGCAGAATGCTATCCCAGTCACTGACATGTTTTCATAAGTACTCTTTCTCAGAGATGGTGGAGAGGTGAGATAAACAAGACCTGGTCTCATGAATGTTAAGCCCGATGGCTCTGGTGAATGTTTGAAGCACAGCTGCCATTTTGGGTCTAAGTTCCTGCACAGCCAATTCCTATTCTCACCAAATCGTGATAATTCAGAGCAAATAAAGATGAGTAGCACATCCAGTGTGCAGATGGATGGACTTCACTGTGTCTTCTTTAAGGTTTTCTGCTCATAGTATGAGTTGTTGGGTTAAAAACTTTAAAGATGTGTTTGGTGCTATGAGGAGCAAACCCCAGCTGTATTAGAACTTGAATGTGTGCTTTTATGTTTTAAATGACACAGTGTATGCAGAGGAAGTGTCTTACTGGAGAAAGTAAACATAATCCTTAAGCCTCCACCCCCACGCATTTTTTCCTTGTGCTACTTGTGGCTTGAAGCTGTAAGTCATTATTCTCCTGCACTACCCTGTCAGAAAGATATGGCTTGGGTTCCCATCACAGCGTCTGATAATATTTATCAGAAGTGTTTCTGGCCTTCCATCTGCTCTGCACAAAGCATTGGCCTCTTCGATAGATGGTACAAATGTGATGTGCTCTTCAGCTCTGAGTGGCCTTTTGCTCTTTGCTGTCACTGCTGGGACAGCCCTTTAAGAAGTGTCTAAAAATTGAGGCAGAGCCTTCTCCACCTCTGACTTTACCAGATGCTGAAATGAGAGTCGTCAGGGTTTACAGAACAGGCTGAACAGTTACAGTGGTGCCACCAGATAACCCAGGACCGAAGAGTTAAGAGATCCTTATTTTTAACAAGAGTTAATTTACTCTGGTTAAGTGACATAGGTGAATAGAGAATGTACTTGGTCCCTCCCAGTAAATCATTCAACTTGGTTGCATATATGCAGCATTCAGAACAAGTACCTGGCAACAGAGGTATCCCGAGTATTTTCATTGCAAGCCCTTATTTGGAGAACTCAAAATAATTGTCCCTTTGTTAGTTGTTAGTCATCATTTAGATATTAGACTTTAAGTGGAATTTACTATTTCAAGATGGGGTCTTTGAGCATTGGCTGGAGAGGTAACACCATAAGCTAATTGTTTCCCAGTATAGTATTGTTCCTGGATTTATCCTAATCCCTCTTGTCTCACCTGCTTCTTATGCTTAAAACCACGGAGTAGCTGGAGTGACTTGAAGTCACTTCGCCTAAAGAGGGATTTAACCCATGAGGGAGGGATAAATGTTCTTTTTCCTTCTTTTATATATTTCTTTAGCAATCATTCCTTATACCTGATGTACATGCTAAGAGAATCTAAGAATTTTGACCCTCCGTTAATAGCCAGCTACTTGGTATCTGGCATAGCTTGTGTGTAGGATAAAATTCTACAATTTCCTTTACTGATAATCTCGGGATGGATGGTAGTTTTTCTTTCTGCTAGTTCTAGAGCAGTGGTTCTCAGCCTTCCTAACACTGCGATCCTTTAATACAATTCCTCATGTTGTGGTGACCCCACACACACACCATAAAATTATTTCGTTGCTACTTCATTGTAATTTTGCTACTGTTATGAATTATAACGTAAATATATATGTTTTCCTATGGTCTTAAGTGACCTCTGTGAAAGGGTCCTTACCACCCCCCTCCAAAGGGGTCTCTACTTAACAGGTTAAGAACTGCTGTTCTGAAGATTTGCATTTAAAGTTTGTCATGGTAATCTTGTCCTTTTGTTTTCTATAGCTCTACAAAATCTCTTCAAACTTACCTTTTGAGTTATCTCAGTTGCCTTCCAAGTTAACTCTGTAACATCCTTTGTTTTACTTTAATTCCCCTTAATCATTTCACCAAGTATAATTATATACTGCTTGTGTATGAGACACTACACAAAATAACCTTTCCAGAACAGCAAGTATAGCGAAACCTGCGTACTGCTCTGTTGCCAGAGCCTAGACCAAGAGGAGGTGCTCATGAGTAAATGTCTTTGAGTGTAGGGCACAATGGTGTGTATTTATGATTGCAGCACCCAGAGGTAAGGCAGGAGGAGCAAAGGTTTGGAGGCAGCTGTAGCTTTGTATAGAAGACTGGCTTCGTGTTTGTTTGTTTGTTTGTTTGTTTGTTGTAATCATTTGAGTTAGACATAAGTGTAAGGTCACTGTAAAGACATCATAATCTGTGGCCTAGGCTGGCCTGGAACTTGTGGCAGTCTTCCTGCCATGGCCTCCATAGTGTATGGATTACAGGTGTGAGACACGTTGCCTAAAATTAACCAGGAAGGGGCCCTTATAGCCTGCAGACGGCCTCTGTGCTTTCTGGTGACCACTAGGGTCATGAAGTTTGCTCAGGGAGTGAGGGGACAAGGATATGGACAGACTAGAGCCTTTTCTTTTTTAGCAAAGTCCCCATATCCTGTGTTTTGATGTTATTTCCCTCTCCTCTTTCTTAAGGTAATCTGTTATTTATATTTTATTGATTGATTGCATTTATTTAGAGGCAGGGTCTCACTATATAGCTCTGGCTGACCTGGAACTTGGTACATAGACTCAGAGATATGCCTTCCTCTTCTATAAGATTCCTGAGGTTACCGGAGTGTGCCACCATGCCTGGCTGATACGGTCTCTATATTCATTTTTTTTCCAGCCCTACCCCTGTGAATGTTTTCTTGGCTGATTTTCATATGTTCTGTTTTATATCAGAAGTTTTTAGGTAA